GGAAACTGGCACCTCAAGGATTCAAGGATAACACCACTCCTATGAAAAGGTATAAAATGCCAAGGGAAAAAAGGGAAATCAGAAGACAGCAACTCAGCAACATCACAGATCAGCCTGTTCCAGGGAGCAACAGAGGCCAGCCCTCCCCTACCTGAGTGATGACTACTTGCCCATTAGACTTAGTGACTCATTTGGTGGGGGTTGATTTAATGCCTAGTTCATTAGTTCTACAATATATTTTGTGTGTTAGATGATAAATAACTTGCTTTATGCTTTTAAGCTGTTTATATCTTGCCTGAAGATGTCTTTGGTAAAAGTTCCCTGAAGAGAGTGACTCCCCGAGGGGGAGGGTTACGTAAGTAATCTAGAATAACAGACAAGAATAATATGATTAGTCATGCAGAAGAGCATTTATACTTTAAAGCACAGGTGCACACTTTAGATGGGCTAGGGGATTTCAGAACATAGGGGACTCTTTTTCAGCAGGTTATATATATTTCAGAAAAGTTCCATGTAGCTACAGCATCAAATAAATGATACCTGAATCTGGGTACAGAATCCAACCTCTCTAATGAGCCAAGAAACCTGGCAGACAAAACCAGAAGTTTTGGGAAAGCCCATGCTGGGAGAAGGCATTCTGAACACTTACAATCCCGGGATGAGGAAATTGGAACAATGCTTCCCAGGAAGCACATACCTGAGAAAGCAATGAAACAAATGGATCTGGGAAAATTCTTGATCTAAATGACAAATGAGTTAGTGAAACAGAATCTAAATTTCAAAGTCTGGCTTGTGGAAAAAAGACTGAGGATGCTGGTGGGAGCTCACAAGAAACACAATTTAATAACTTTTAAAATTACTCTTCTGATTCAAATGCTTTAAGTAATTGCTGCTTGATTGTGCTTGAAGACACACATATACTATATATGTATACCTAAAAGTCTGAAAGAAACTAGAATGTAAGTTAGAGCAGACATTACCTTGCTGGAATAATTTGCAATAAAATGCAGGAAGCTGCATACTAAATTTGTTTCTTAATGCCAATGAGGTAGCTGGAGGACCAGAGAAGCTGAGGGAAGATGGTCTTTGCCACCGTGTCTCAGACCTGCTCCCTCTCTCATGTGCTTGGCATTCTTCTCGCAGTTTTTTTTTTAAATGTCCTTGCCTAGATGGTAACTTCCAAGGATGGCAAAACACTGTTGGAAATAGAGTAAGAACTGTTCTTTTTAGGAAGGTAAGGAGATTCAAAGCTCTGATCATTCCAGCGTCCTGTGGGAGTAAGGGGTAACTCACAAAGGTTAACTTTAATCATAGAGTCGTTTAGGTTGGAAAAGACCTTTAAGATCATTGAGTCTCCCTGTAAATCTAACACTGCCAAGTGCCACTAAACCATGTCCCCAAGTGCCACGTCTACACGTCTTCGAAATACCTCCAGGGATGGTGACTCAACCACTTCCCTGGGCAGCCTGTTCCAGGGCTTGATAACCCTTCCAGTGAAGACATTTCTCCTAATACCCAATCTAAACCTCCCCTGATGCAGCTTGAGGATATTTCCTCTCGTCCTATCACTAGTTACTTGACAGAAGAGGCCAGCACCCACCTCACTACACCCTCCTTTCAGGCAGTTGTAGAGAGCGATAAGGTCTCCCCTCAGCCTCCTTTTCTCCAGACTAAACAACCCCAGTTCCCTCAGCCGCTCCTCACAAGACTTGTGCTCCAGGCCCCTCACCAGCTCGATTGCCCTTCTCTGGACGCGCTCCAGCACCTCCATATCTTTCCTGTAGCGAGGGGCCCAAAACTGAACACGGGACTCGAGGTGCGGCCTCACCAGTGCCGAGTACAGGGGGACAATCACCTCCCTGCTCCTGCTGGCCACACTGTTTGTGATACAGGCCAGGATGCCATTGGCCGCCTTGGCCACCTGGGCACACTGATGGCTCATGTTCATCCGGCTGTCGATGAATACCACCAGGTCTCTCTCTGCCAGGCAGCTTTCCAGCCGCTCTTCCCCAAGCCTGTAGCGCTGCACGGGGTTGTTGTGATCCAAGTGCAGGACCCGGCACTCAGCCTTGTTGAACCTCATACAGTTTTCCTTGGCCCATCAATCCAGCCTGTCCAGACCCTTCTGCAGAGCCTTCCTACCCTCCAGCAGATCAACACTTGTATTAAAGCTAATCTTCTTAGCATCTCTGTATGTCAGCAGGGAGAGGTAAACTCCCCTAGGAAGCAATCCAGATAATTAACCATAATTTAACCACCCTGAATCATCCTCTGGATGACCCTTTCTTTCACCATCCTTTATAGTTTATAAAGGGAATTTAGGGAGGCTAGCTTCATTCAGCTGCAGGGAGACTTTCAAAATATGCTTTCTTCTTTTTGTCTTTCAAAAAATGAACTCTATGCTTTAATAACTTAATTGAATAGATTTATGTCCTGAAGTAGAAGAAAAGTATCTTGGTCAGCATCACACATGGAAGATCAGAGGCATGTGATAAGTAAAACTCACAATAGTATATTGAGGAGCATTATGATAAGGGATGGCCTTATTAGTAGTTTAGATCTCAGAAAAGAAAATCTAAAACTTCATGAACCTCACCCACAGGCATGTGAGTTGATGATCACAAAAAATGTAGAAAGAAGATAATAAAGAGTTTTCATTTTTTAAGATGTAAAGAAGGGCTTGTGAAAAATTAAACGACCCCTTCTCTCCTCCATTCTTTCCGCTACACTAGTTTACCTAATAGAAGATATTATCTCTACCTTAATCTGTTTCTACACCTCCACAAGCCATGGATGATTTCACATTGGCTTAATGGAAAAAAGCACCAAATATGGACTAAGGGGTTCCTTGCACCAAAACAGGAATGGCTTTTATGTCAAATTCAGTGGCTGCAACTGTTTAAAGTGATGACTAAAATGAAAAAGTTACCATATCTGTAGCCCTTGATACATTTTTATTGCATATTTGGTGTAAGTGGAAATGAAACTTCTAGCTCCATCTACAACTGAAGCACCAAGTGCCACCAAACCAAGGGTACTCTGAGTTCTTTTCAGGATGTTGAGTCTGTTTTTTCTCTTATTTTTCAAGTGCCTGGATTCTGACCTACTCAGGTCAGGAGTCCTATCCCAGAGTTAGTGTCTTTGACCTTTTTGCATTCCTTTATGAAAAACTTTCTGTAATAAGCTCTCGTTTGCCATTGCCTGAATGGGAAGTGAGACCTTTGAAATTGATTTCAGACAGCAGGCCTGCTGGTCAGAGGTAAGTATCTTGTTCTGCCAGACTGTACAATGCTTCAAACCAATTTTGTGTCCATTTCTGAAAGATTCCCCTCAATTGAAACAGAAAAATAACAGTAAATACTTTTCTAAGCTACAGATTTTCTCAGTGAACATTATATCATTACAGTTAGCTGCTATTGATTGGTGGGAATCAAATATATACTGACTGGACTAAAATAGAAATTCTGTTTTATTTACTATGCTCTTGAGTAACATAATCCAATATTATATCAGGTGGGAGAAATGTTTATCTGTATAGGTACCTATATCTATACAAATACTTAAACAACTGTCTAACAGCTTCTTCTTGCAACTCGTGGCAAAAGGGAGTGTTTTCCAAAGAAGTACAGGCCTTCAAAAAGAACATGAAGTTGAGCTTTAAAATTAGAGGGATATACACTGGTCTGGTTTATACTAATATTACAGAAGTGTATTCCTGTTAACTTCAGTGCAGGTACTTCCCTTTTTATCAGTTTAAGCAAGTTTGAAATCAAACCACAAGCCTTTAATGAGGTTTTAATGATCCACTTGGGGGAGCTAAAGGGTAATTTGTTTCCAAATTGATTATGGCAAAATGTTTGGGATGCAAAATTAAATTACAGGAGACAATGTGAGTGGAGTCTTCCACTCCTTTCAACTCAGTGCTGGCTGTTAATCTATATTAGCTTCTGGAGCAAAGGGGCCCCAGTTCTTATTAAAATTCCAGCCCCTTATAGAAAAAAGAACTGCAGTTATAAATAGCTTAGCAGCAGACACCCATAATAGTATCAATCATATCCTGACTTCAATTATACACCTACAACATACATTGAATGCAACAGACATAACATGTAAGGCAGAGTTTGGTCCTTACTCTTCCTTGACATTTTTATGCTACTTAACATTAACTGTAATGCAACAGCAATTAGAGGCAGAGATGCACTACCTCCCATATTGGAAGGAAGAGCACAGCCTTTCGTCTGTGAAGAGCCAATAAAATATGAAGTTGGGCTTTTCTCCATGTAGGGATTGCCCTAAAGTTCAGATAAACTGACAATACAGTTGGTTTCAAATGCCACAGCAGATCCAAAGCTATAATCATCTACCTTTTATAAAAGGAAACACCACCATTTCAGACTCATGAAAATTCCATTGGCAAAGCTGTACTGTCGATGTCTTCACTGTAACAGTACAAACTTCATCTCACTCCAAATTACTCTGCAGCGCAGTCCACATTAAAGCTTATGGTAACCATATGTGGGCATCTAATTTAACTGACTCATGTAAATAAAGTTTCAAGTAAAAGTGATAATTAAATAAAATATTTTGTTCCTCTAGCATAACTTACTAACTATAGTTAAGGTTTCCTTATTTTATGTTTAGTTTAGCCAAAGCATATGGAAAGAGTAAACTTTACAAGAAGTACTGTTGCTAGGCACTTTAAAAGCAAAAAGACTTATGCTTTGTAGCTATGAACTACCAAAATATATTTTTAAATGTCATTCAGCATCCTGAAGGCAGACACAATCCTGCTGATTGAATACCATACTAAAGACAATGGCAAAGCAAATGGAAGCAAAGGGTACAGTCAACCCAGGTATAGGCATGAAAGCTGTAATCAGTAGCAGTACTTGATGACAGTATTTGTAGTGCAATTTGCTTTTGTGCTTTCTCTTTGATATGTAAGGACAAGTACTAGAACGTACTTAGGAGGAACTACTGCTGTAAATTGATCAACTTACATTAATTAATTCAATCTCCCAGATTTTTTTCACAAGGTCCATCGATGTATAGCCATTAATTAGAAAGGATTTGGTATAGTCACCCAGTTCAATGGAATCCAGCCATTCAGCTACAGAGGTGGGGTTGTAGCCATCATGACCGATCTGCTTCATCTGAAAAACAGAATGAATAAGAATTACTGATGATATTCATTAAGCATCTTTCAGAACAGCAGTTATGTGTATTATTTTCTTTGGGTCAGAGTTATCTTATTCTCTGATCAACATTCTTTTAATGATTAGTACAACACGAAACAATTTTGTGAGCAAAAGCACTAATAAAACTTAGTGGATCTTTTTCTTATGGCTGCTTGCCTTTTAAGCCAGAGTATACTAAGACTGTAGCTGGAGTTCAATTCTTACTAGACATCAGAGAATCCATAAGTGAGGGAAGGCAAAAGGGTGAAGGAGACATTATTACTATCCTGACTGCACAAGAATGTCAGATTTGCACTTAAGATTTCATAGAAGGGGAAGAAATGAGGCTGAGGAATGGATCTTCCGGTATCAGACTGCAAATGAAATATATTGCCCTGGTTATATTATTCCTAATTTATTTCTCCTACTAGGTTATTGGATATTTTATAACGGTTGAATGCGCACTGTATTTTTCCACCCCCAGGGGAGGTTTAAAAAAGTCTCTTTCCTCTACCTGGTCACATTTTTCATGGAACTCCTGGGAATTTTACATATTTTAGATTGCTCTCTGTCTGTAAAGTTGCTTGAGATTGGACAATCGAATCAAATATTATTGGAATGGAATTGACAGAATGATGTACGCAGAAGGGCACCGCATGCGTTTATATAGCAACACAGGCACAGAAAGCATAATCACATATATCTTGTTTTCATAACTAACTAAGAAATACCACTGGCATCTTATTTTTTCTGAATTTTGTTAAGTTACTAAGAAGTAAAGAGCTGCAATTTCTCTTTCACAATTGTCTCTCACTGACACAAGTGAAGATTTTCAAGCTAGCCATTAAAGATAAAAAAGTGTAAAGCCTCTACCTGTGCAGGGTATTATGCCATGCTGTTTTTGTGAATATTAAAGTAATTTGCAATAGTGGCAGAAGTAGAACAAAGTAGAAAAAATTATGCAATAGCCTCAATTTTCAACAACATTATACGCATATCATCTTTCTATAGCAGTGTAACTATTGCTAACTTGATAATACACTGAACTGGCAAACTGTTAAGAAGCTTTAGAGGTTTAGACACCTTGTGTTTTGCACGGGATCTCCCGACTGTGTAAGGGTGACACTGCACATGATGAAAGCCAGTCTCCCATTTCTGCCTGCTTATGTATATTCCTGCTTTCTGAGAAACAAGGGAAGTGTGACAGAAACATAATGCTTTGAGCTTAAGTTTGAAGTGAGTGACAAAGTAATTTAAAAGGAGAGACTACTGATCTTAATATCTTGCCTGAACCAATTTATTTCTCACGGTTTATTTGAAATACAACTTGAATTCAAAGCAGAGAAAAAAATTAAAGTCTCCATTTGAAAGCCGCAGTAGTGTTCGTTGATCTGTCTGTTCAAATGCAGAAAGCCAGCATGTCATGATCTTGATCTTGATTTCCTGCAGTATCAGAGAGGAGTGATGCAGGCACACTGCATCGTGGATATGAGAGTTTACGCTTTGGTCTTTTGCTGCAGATGTTGGATATAAAATACTAATGGAAATATTTAAATGATGTAGTGAAATCATTATCTTAAATCATAAAAGAGAGACAAGAGAAATCACATAATTAACAATGGGAATCATAGCCTTTCAGGTCACTTCTGTAACAAAGGAGTCATGTTAGAAAGAGAAAGTCCAGTTTTGTTGTTGAACTTGACATTTTGGAATTTAGTTTCATCCTAATTTAGAATGAAATTCTTAGATGTCAAAAGCATGGCAAATTCTTCTTTCATTGTCATTCAGACTTACTTCAAATCTTAGATTGACAGTAGTCTGTCCAGCAGATGGCAAAAACATTGGCAGACCCAGGGAGCTCTGACTCCTGGGAAGCTTATTTCAAGAGCTAATTTGAAAAGAGGTATGCTTAAACAACTGACACTTGAAAAGAAAGGACCCAATAAACTGAAGGAGAAAAATCTAATACAGAGAAGACATGAAGAAGATGTACAGGGCCCACAGGGAACACATGACTTTTGAAAGATATAAGGTATTTTTGTTTCCTTTCGCTAACAAAGAAAAGCAAAGCACCTTTGAAACAATTTTCAACGTATCCAGATGGGGCACATTATGCAAATTATTTCTTTTGTTTATTACTATTTGATCTTTATGTTTAATAAATCCTGATTTTAACATGTTTTTTGGTTTTTTTTTTTGACCTGCTGATTGAGAAAACTTATGCAGTCTGGTCCGTAATTCTGGTAACTCATCAGCCTCTATGAAAAGCAAACACAGCATGGGAAGTTTCTGAATTCTCAGTTCCCACTGGAGATCTCCATCAACAGCGTTGTTAAAATAGATATCGCTCTACTACGGTGCGTTGCAAGGGGCTGCATGCAAGCAAACAGGCAAACAATCCAATAGGCAAGAGGCTGAGAACAACGGAAACGTATGCAACAATTTCACCCTTTGGATTTGGTGCCAATAGACAAAATCGCCATCGGGTCACTCTAGCCTACCTGAAAATACCCCCAGCTATGCCACAGGTACGCCCGTGCCCGGCCGTGCACCTTGCTGATCCCCCCCACCAACTCGCCCTCCCGAAGCGACCTTGTCCCATCCTCTTCCCCGTGGATTTGCCCCAGGACGTGGCTGTTGGCGGTCACTGCCGCCGTCCCTGCCCCACTCGCCTTGTGCGGGTGCTCCCTGCCCGCTCCTATTGCAGAAAATTAATCTCACAACTAGAATATTTGCCGGCAGTTTCAGCATGAATGCAGTATTTTGTTTTGTCATGAACCAAGAACCGCTCTCTTATCTAAAACATTTTCTAAAATGTGTCTAATATACGAAAATTAATAAACCTTCAGTATCCGTCCTCTTGTATGGAAAGTTTTGTTCTGTCTGTTAATAACATCAACTAGCTTATTAACTGTCATTCATAGCTGGCTGTTTTCCTTTCAAATATCTATTGACAGACAGATTGGTTATCTAGATGTGACAGTATCATTAATAGTATCTGCTTTTCATATAAAATGTTATGGAGTTTTTAAATAAAAAAAAATACTTTGAAATATCTGTCTGGAAGTGCTGCCCCTTTACTTTATTGGAGCTCCAGTTTAGTTGCATCTTATCCCAGTCCTCGTTAACAGGTCACGGCTCTTGGACTGTTAGTATTTTTTTTTTCTATACTGCACCATGATCTTAACCTCTCACAGATCATTTACACCCTTTAGATTTCCTTGCTGATGCTATTTGCTGATTGATTTTTTTTTTTTGAAAGAAAAAACCCCTCCTACCTACTGACTGTATTTCCATGTATAATATTTCAATCATTTCACACCAGCTTCAACACATGCACCGGTGGTGTCAAACATCTTAGCAGCTATTGGCATACTGTTTGACTCAGAGCAGTATAAAATCTCTAAGCTTCAGGTCATGACAGCCTTTCAAATATTAACTGCTCATAAATAGGGGCAGTGTTGTTCTTCTGCAGACACTGCTACTAGTTCATTCGGTTGTTATCTTTAAAGAACAATATCAATGTTAGCTGTTTCACTGCAGAGGATTTTAGCATGCTGACTATGGAAACGACCAGGAATGAAGCCCATAATTTAGAGAAAAAGAAATGCTTAAGAAAATATGATATAAATGAAGCATGGAAGAAGACATAAACCATAGATTTCTCTCCCAGGTCCTATTGATCTATCACTAGTATCACTTCCTTTGAAATGAATAGAAAGCAGAAGCCAGAAAGAGCTGTTTCTCATAATAAAATAGTAATATCAAGTAGCATCCTAATGGGTTGAGAAATCCTTTACAAGAGACTGTACGTCAGTCTTTTTACAGGTGCATCACTGCTATATCTATATAGTATTTTACATTAGGATAGAAAGTACTTGAGTTTTTTCTCCGAAGGGTAGCCAAATAAACATGAAGTAATCACATATGCACCAGAAGCATCATGGTGAATTCAGTAACATGGACTATTATCAGTTTTCTCTGATCTTCTCAGACAGATCTCAACACTGTGTGTATTAAAGTCAAGCTTTTTATCTGCTGTATAAGGAGAAAGAGATGACTTTCACAGCTTTTTAAATGATGGCTATGATTACAGTGAATTCACGCTTGTGTTGGTTTGCAAGAAAGATCTTTTTAGCAAGCACATAATGCTTTCTTTTAAACTGCTGGCCTATCTGAGAGATTTAAGCAGCACTTTTGGGAACTTGTATGAAATTATCAACTACCAATCTGAGTACTTCTGGGTGATTGTAATGGGGCGGGGGCTATCGAGTCTTTTTTTCCTGTCTTCGTGACTTGTCTGTTGTACATTATGTACTTTACAAACGTGATCGGTTGGACTTACGTTGTTGGAAGAGAAAAGCATTCCTCCTCTGGAGCGATGAAAGAAAAGGCTCAGGAGAGTGATGCTCCTGAAGACCCCAGGGCTTGGCTGGCCCGGGGCAGCACGTGGAGCTGGGGGACAGGCACAACTCCCTAAGAACCTGAGAAGACTTTGCCTTTGCTGCTGTTGAGAAAGGCATGGAGTGAAAATAGGGACCTGCCTGCAAAGACACAGTGGGTGAGGAAGGGCTGTGTATAAACCTTTTGGTTTTCTATTCTGTCTACCTTGTCACATATTTAAAAAGTTGCCTATTCAAGCTTGTGTTCTATTAATGTTTGACTTTTCTTTCCGCTAATCAAAAGCCTCCTGTCTTCTTGTGGAGCTTACTATAAAAAGACAGTACAGGCACATTCACTTCACAGCGCTGCCTGATTCAGGATCCTGCCCCAGTGGCAAATCCAGAAGACCACAAACTGAGTTCAGAGTTTCCTACCTAAGATCGCCAGCATTGCAATAGGCACCCTTTCTATGATTTTTGCAGTTGGAATCTGTCTTCTGAATTTAAAGTAAAAGAGATGCACACACATATTTTTTCTGGAAAAATTTAAACAGATCCACATCCAGAAGACTGAAAAGACCACCTAGCTCTTCA